TTTTTTTTTAATTTTTTTTTTAACGTTTATTTATTTTTGAGACAGAGAGAGACAGAGCATGAACGGGGGAGGGTCAGAGAGAGAGGGAGACACAGAACCGGAAGCAGGCTCCAGGCTCTGAGCCATCAGTCCAGAGCCCGACGCAGGGCTCGAACTCACGGACTGCGAGATCGTGACCTGAGCTGAAGTTGGACGCTTAACCGACTGAGCCACCCAGGCGCCCCTGTTCTCATTTTTTAAGAGTCTCTTATGCTTTGGCTCTCTCCCACTCCAACCTCTCTCTCTCTTTTTTTTTTTTCCTTCTCCTCCCCCATGGGTTCCTGTTAAGTTTCTCAGGATCCACGTAAGAGTGAAAACATATGGTATCTGTCTTTCTGTGTATGGCTTATTTCACTTAGCATAACACTCTCCAGTTCCGTCCACATTGCTACAGAGGGCCATATTTCATTCTTTCTCACTGTGACTGGCAAGTTATTTATAGCTCATGAGCAACTGATGTAGATCAGGGTTGTAAATATGTATATCTCTTGATAGGCTGGAGGGACCTGTGACTTTAAACTGGTTGGAAAAATCATCTTTGGCTGTGAATTACCTGTGTAAGAGTCTCTGTTGGAGTAGCTGATTGAGAGTTGACCTTAGTATTTTGTTACTTGGGATTAATGTGATTAGCTATAGTGCCCTGAAACATGCAAATGTCACAGTTACTGAATTAATGAAGAGTTGGGAAGGCCCCTCAGTAGAATTTGTATTTCTAGATGTTACTTATTTATTTATTTATTTTTTTTTACTGTTTCCATTTTCAGGGAGGACCTTTGACTATATCTACTCAGGAGTCGGTTGAGCATTCTGATTTATTTTCTTCATCATCGCCCTTGGACAAAGGAACCAAAAGTAGAACCAAAACTGTTCTTAGTTTATTTGATGAGGAAGAAGATAAAACAGAAGATCAAAATAGCATCCACGCTCCAAAGAAAGAAGTGGGAAAGGTGAGCAAAAAGCAATAAAGTTTCAGGGTTTTGAAAGGGTTAAAGAATCTCATTTTAAGGTGTCAGTTCTGTCATATGAGTTACTAAAGAATTGAGTGTTCTGGTTTCTCTTCATCTTCACTAGTACTTGTTGATTTTTTTCTGTAATGGCCACATGTGGGTGAGGGTGTGGGGAAACTAGAATACTCCTGCGTTGCTGTTGGGAATGTAAATTAGTGTAGCCACTTCAGAAAACAATTCGGTAGTTCCTGAAATTATTAAACATGAGTCCCCCACAATGCCCAGCAATTCCACTCCTGGGTATATCCAAGAGTAATGAAGACATATTCACACACAACTAGAATGTAATGTTCTTAACAACGTTATTTATATTTATTTTATATATATATATATATATATATATATATATTTATTATAGTCAGAAGATGGAAAGAACTCAAAGTCCATCAGTTGATGAGTGGATAAACAATGTAGTGTATCTATTCAAAATGGCATATTATTTGGCAATAAAAGGAATAAGTTACTGATACATGCTGCAACATGATGAACCTTGAAAACATGCTGAAAGAAAGAAACCAGTGATAAAGGACTACGTATTTTATGATTCCATTTATTTGAATGTCCTGAATTGGCAAATCCATAGAGCTACAAAGTAGAAGTGGTTGCCAGGGTCTGGGGGAATGGATGGATGAGAATGGAGAGTGACTGCTAATAGGTTTGGGGTTTCTTTTGGGGTAATGGGAAAGTTCTAAACTTACCTGGTGGTGGTGTTTGCACAACTCTGTGAATATACTAAAAATCACTGAATTACACACTAGGTGAATTTTATGGTGTATGAATTTTATCTCAATAGAGATATTTAAAAAAAAAAAGAAATCCAAACAGGTGTCAGGCCATATTGCCAGTGCTTTTCGTAAACCAAACTGAGGAAATGGTCCATGTTGATTTCTATAAAAAAATGTTTTATTATTTTTTATTACAGTAGAAGTATAACCCTGTTTATGAACGAGAGCTACACAGAGTGAATATGAATTACTTGCTGTATTTTCTTCCAGTCTTTTACTCTGTGTGATTTTGTACTATGATTTTCATGGTCGTGAAACTTTTTAAAAAATATTTTCATTTATTTATTTATTTTTTTTAAATTTTTTTTTCAACGTTTTTTATTTATCTTTGGGACAGAGAGAGACAGAGCATAAACGGGGGAGGGGCAGAGAGAGAGGGAGACACAGAATCGGAAACAGGCTCCAGGCTCCGAGCCATCAGCCCAGAGCCTGACGCGGGGCTCGAACTCACGGACCGCGAGATCGTGACCTGGCTGAAGTCGGACGCTTAACCGACTGCGCCACCCAGGCGCCCCTCATTTATTTATTTTTATGTATTTGTTTACTTTTTAAGTTTCTTCATTTTTTGAGAGAGACAGAGAAAGTGAGTGGGGGAGGCAGAGAGAGAGGGAAAGAGAGAATCTCGAGCAGGCTCCACACTGCCAGTGTGGAGCTTGATGTGGGGCCTGAACCGTGAGATTGTGACCTTGAGCTGAAACCAAGAGTTGGATGCTTAACCAGCTGAGCCACCCAGGTGCCCCAATGGTCATGAAACTTTTAAACTTAGCTACTGTGTTACTGTGTTGCTGTGGGTTTTTATGTATAGTCAGTAATAATAATCAGTGACTTTTTAATGTGACACATCTCCTCAGTTGTGAGGGTTCTTTTGTTTCATCTGTGGTCGTGATACTAAATGTTATGGGTGAGAGAGTCTGCATTGTGTGAATGGAAGTCTCCGTTCTTGGATTCCACACAAGATTTATGTGAGGCTCTGCTTTCAAATAAAAACAGCCAGAAGGGAAGTAGCACGAAGGAATTTATGAAAGCGAAAACACTCTCAAGGTGGGAGAGCGGGCAGGTTCTGTAAGGTGAAGCCTGTCGCCAGTTTGTTTTGAGATTGGATGTTATAGGGTCTCTCTGGGCTGGGAGCTGGGGTAGTCTCTAATGGAGGCTGTTTCCAGTCCTTTGGGGAGCTCCTCCCACAGGTTGGGGGGGGTGGTGCTTGACTCTTCAAAGCTTGTATAGGAAAGGTCATGGCAGCCTTTCTCCATTGTCGGGGTGGGGGGTTGTACCCGCAAAGCAAAAGCATTGTGACCAGTCTAGGGGTTACCCTGGGCAGAGGTGGAAGAGGAGAATGCGCGTTCTGCACTTGTGGGTCTTTGGTCTGTCAGCCCCAGGGTCTTGCAAGCCACAAGGTCAGGATGTTGTGTCCTCGGGTTTTTAATGTGTACCTTACTTATCATCGTCCTTATGTCCAGCCTTTGTCCCTATCAATCCCCTTCAAGGACTTGGGTCTCTGACTCGGGGCATTCCTTCCACTGCTCTGTTACAGTAGCTTGTACTTAACATAAAGAAGAGCTCTTCTGAATCGGCCCCCTGGAAATAACAAAAACAAAAAAGCAAAAAAAGGTAAAGAAGAAATAGGGAAGTATTTAAGAATGTCACGTCTGGGATATTACAGTGTCAAATCAAGTAATGTGAATAGTAATTTTCAAATGTCAGCTACCCTATCAAACAAAAATAAGTTGTTTGGAAGATAGTGGGATGGAAGGTGGGTGGGCATAGGAGAAGGTTGGCTCATCATCCCTGTGCCAGGTCTTTAGAGTAAGACGCTGACAGATTAGGGATACACACTTGACCACTGTGTAGTTTTTGGTATTAAGTGAGCTGCTCTTCTTCCCTTTGGAAATGAGATGGAGAAAACTTACTTGATTTTGTGTTTTCACCCTTAAAATGTTTCTCATTATGGAATTAATGGGTTGTTTTATAAATAAAAAGTTCAGACATTTGTTACAGGCTGAAAGAGGATCTTTCCAGATGATGTATATGTTAATGTATTCCAGATCTGCATTTGCAAATGTATTTCCCACTATCTCTGGTAGCTCCATAGCCTTGTGTTGTGTGAATGTGTCATTCCCTTTGTGATTGGCACTTAGGCTGTGTCCAGCCTGTAGTCATTGGAAACAGCTGCAGGGGATATCTTTGTAGTTGCATATTTGTAGCTGTGATTTCCTTGAGGTAAATCCTTACAACTCCTCTTTTTTCCAGGGTCCTGATCCTGATACTCGCCCAAAGAGCACAGGTGTCTTTCAGGATGAAGAGCTCCTTTTTAGTCACAAGCTCCAGAAGGACAATGATCCAGATGTTGACCTCTTCTCTGGCACCAAGAAAACCAGGGTCAGTTTCAAAAGGTTCTTCACATCATGACTTTGTTACTGTATTAGATATTATAAGTCAATAGCTCACCTAGCTCTTTTTGTAAATTGCTTTTGTTTTGAATATTGAATTTGAGTTTTGTCTATTCCAGTTACTAGAGCCAAGTGCTGGGAGCCTATTTGGGGATGATGAAGATGATGATCTTTTCAGCCCTGCCAAGTCACAGCCTTTGGTATCAGCCTTTTGCTCTCAATACTGGGGTGTGGGGAAGGCCTCTGGGAAGGAAATTAATGTGTACTTATAAGAGGAAAACACGCAGAGAATTTTGGCGCTTACTAGTGAAGGAATGGCAAATGGCACGCTGATGATAGCGTTTGTGGTGTCCTCATCTTATGTTTCCTAATTAACATTAAAGCATTAACTAACCCAAGCTCTTACTGTATTACAGATTTGTTTGGTTTTTAAGTTGTTTATTGAAAGACCAGTGCATGCCACACGGTGACTAAATACCCGTGCCTTTCAGGTGCACAGCTTTAAATTTGAGTGTTAGCCTGTTTGTGTCATTTGTCCCCACCCCAGTAGATTTTGTTAAGCACTCTCTATTTTGTTTAGCATAGCAGGAACTCCCGAGAAGGTCACGGTCTTTAGAATGCCATTTCTGAAATGCTGCATTAGTTGTATTAGTTCACCTAATGTTGAAATGTTCAAATGTTGTGTTAGTTCAACTCTCATTCAAGAAATGACCCAAAACTCAGAAGCCAGATTGTTTTTATGTATTATGACTTTTCTTTAAAATTTCTGAGATAGATGACAGGTGGTTGGTATTCTTTTTCTTTTGAAGATCTCAGAAAAGAAGAAGGTAGTGAAAAAAGACCACTCTGTATCCTCTGTCAAGAACCAGAAACATCCTGAATCCACTCAGCAGGGTATCAAAGAAAAAAGCACATTGAAACCGGAAACACCTCAGGTTAGAACTGCTTAAGGACTTTCAGCTCTTGCTTGTATCCCAGGACAGAGGGACTCCATCATGCATACCCAAGGGTACTCAGAGTTCTCTTGATTAGGGAGGAAACAGCAGCTAGGACGACTTCTCTCTCTTTATTGTATGGTTTAAAAAAAAAAATTCTTTTTCTAATTAAAAAAATGTTTAAAGTAAAGCTCTACATCCAGTGTGGGGCTTGAACTCATGACCTAGAGATCAAGATTTGTATTCTCTACCAACTGAGCCAGCCAGGCTCCCCTACTGTGGTTTTGTTTTGTTTTGTTTTGTTTTGTTTTGTTTTGTTTTGTTTTGTTTTGTTTTAAACACACTTCTCTGCCGCCTCATCTGTTCTCACTGTACACTCCAGTCTCATGAAGCTATACTTGTGATTACTGTTTTTGGACGACCTTCAAATTCACTTCCAAGGTAGAGATAATACAGGGTGAAGAATCTTCTTCCCATTAGAACCTCCATTTCTCCCTTTGGACTACCTTGGAGTAGAGTTACATTAGAATTAAACATAAATTGTATCCAATTCCTTGGTTCCCCTTCTTGGTTACCTCTTCTGAGGTCACTGCTGATAGGTCTCTGTTCTCAGCAGTCTTCTCTCCAGAGCTCCTCCTGGGAACAGGCCATGACTGGAAAGTGAGTTCTGGTTCTGGATTCCAGCTGTCTCTGGATGTCTCACTGAGGCTTCAGTGTCCTGAGCTGTGAAAACAAAGCCCTGGGAATAGCACGTCTCCAACGACTTGTCCCAAGTTTCAACTTCCTTTGCTTCTAGAACCTCAGTGTGTTAGGTTGTGGGTGAATTTCTGTGTGCTCTGTGATATTTGCTGTGTGGGATAACCAGCATGGTAATTTTGCCAACTGGTCAGGTTTTGGTACTCTGATAACCCTGTGGTTCTTACAAATCTAATTCATGATCTTTGTCTGACTTTACTCCATTTACGGTCTGCCAGCGTTCCACCCACACAGCAGAAGAAGAGGCATAAGTGAAAGATTTTGAGGCCCCAGGAGAGATTTGAATGCCTTTCCCTAATTAGAATCACAGAAAGTGACAGCTTCACCTTCCATCAAATTTAATAGACATAAGTGTAATCCAAGAGGCACTTTTCTTTCTATTTCCCTAATGGATTGTTAACCAAATGTAATTTCACACAGGACTCACCAGGTCCCGCTCCATTTAAAACCAAAGAACCATCCCCTCGGATCTGGAAAATACAAGTAATTATAACGTGTCTGGAATCTTCACTGCCTGCCTTGTGGCATCTATAAACTTTTTTGAATATTTACTTTTGTCAACTGTTGCCAGGCATTTTCGCATCTCTTCCCCACCCTCTAGTTGTTGCTTCTTGTGTGCTGCGTCTGTAACATCTTTTCTTTGGTCCCAGTGGTGGGCACAGGTATATAATCCTCTATTTTAATTCTAAGACTTGATCGGGAGACTTCCCTGCATTTCTCTCTCTCCTGTTTTATTATACATTATGTACACCGCGTCTCTTGTCATGTGTTACACTAGTAATCATAGACTGCTGAGTTTTAAGAAGACATACAGAGTAAGTGTCATTTTTCTCTTTTAGGCAAATTTAGCGATTAATCCAGCAGCCTTGCTGCCTGCAGCGGCTCCCCAGATCTCTGGAGTAAAACCTGTTTTGCCAGAATTGGCTTTTCCTTCATCTGAACCCGAGAGGATCCACGGTCTGGAAAGTATGCCCGCTCTTCCTAGTAGTGGGGAGGCCGGCGTGAGTTTCGATCTTCCAGCTCAGGCAGACACCTTACACAGTGCAAATAAGGTGATGAAGCCACCTTTGCTTGCTTTCTTGCTTTTTTTTTTTTTTTAATCCAGAATAACTTGTATATTTCTAACTAGTCCATCAGTTATACAATCATAGGCTGCCTCCCACTAACCATTTGAAGGAGGCACCTCAGCCTTCCTTCAGCCTCTCCACCCTCCTTACACCTTCCTAACTCTGCGTCCACTTTTCCATTGCCCGTGTTTGTTACTTTTACATTCTGCTCAGTATCCACAGTGAAGTCCCACTGTCTCCAGGCTCTCCTGCGTTGCCACCTGCAGGTCTAAACAGAGCAGATCGTGTCCCTCCTCTGCTGGCTCCTTACTGCCCAAAGGAGGACATTCAGGCTCCTCGGTTTGGTATTAAAGCCTCTTACAATCCACACTAACCGAAACTTCCACCTTGCCCACCAACCACTCCACACCGTCAGCCTATACTGCAGTCACACCAGGCACCATTCCTTGAACACACACACAACCACCCACTGCTGCCAGCAGCTTGTGCTGCTACCTCTGTCAGCAGTGCTCTTGCTCATCGACAGACTGCTCAAACTTCACTGCTTCTGTGATATTTCCCCTGGTGCCCTCTTGTGTTAGGCTCCCTTCTCTGAGATCCCATGGCAGTTACTTCCCGGCTGGTATGGTCCTGTCACCCTGTTCCACAGGACTGTGGGTATGTGCTGCATGGACTGAACTCTTTCGAGGTTTTGCTTTCATTTTAGTTGGTTCTCTTTTTTCTACCTAGTCTTCCTCCTCTAGAAAATCTTAGCTGATGTCTGAGTAAGCAACAGCACCTAAGATAACTCTGGTGAATACATTCATTTTAAGTGTTTCCAAAACTCTTTTCCTCGTGAAAAATAAAATATCCTTCTTTTTGTTCTATTTTTTGTCAGCCTTTGGTGAGGGGGAGGGTAAGTTTACATTGGCTACTTCATAAAATTATTTGTGAAATTTCCTTGAAATAGGTAAACATAGCCAAGTACTTTGGCCAAAGAAGCTTGTACCTTCTTAAAACTACTTGATTGTATATTTTGGAAAATATCACAAATACTGCATTATTGCTAATGAGTAACTTCTGTTTTGAGGTTATATTAAAAGTTCTGATTTCTAAGCCACATTTTTTATGTCAAATATTCAGCATTTAAATTTAGTGTTTGTTGACTTGAAGAGAAGAGCACGTTAGATTCCCTGTCTTTGATTGTCTCTTATCTTCCTGGTTTTGGAGCCTGATTGTAGGCTAGCCTCTTGTAAAGGTTAGCATTAGAATTCCCCCTGATTCTCTCTTGTTTTGAAAGAGACCCACATGTAAACCAAGGGCAGAGTAAGGGCCGGGAAGGGTTGTGGCACACAGAGTACCAACATGCCTACTTTGCAGGGTTCCAGCAGCAGATGAAGCCTTTTGTGTGAAATTAAACAGAAATTGCCCTGCAAAGACTCCATGGGGAACACTAAAGGATTAAGAGTAACATAGTCTTGGAGTAGCTATTAAATGTCTTTGGAAATCTTTAGGAAATAATCCTTTCTCTGTCTTGGATAATATCTTGATTGAGGGATTGAAGTAGACCAGACAACCTTATAATATTCTGAGTCACTGATTATTTGCTATGTTAGCTTTGAACACCTTTTTGTTCTTCTTTTTAATCGTTAGATCAACACATGGTTTTTTGCCATTGCAGAGTCGGGTCAAAGTGCGAGGGAAGCGTAGACCGCAGACCCGTGCGGCTCGGAGGTTGGCTGCCCAGGAGTCCGGTGAGGCCGAGGATGTGAATGTCCCCAGAAGATCCATTGCACGCTTGGTAGATGGCGACATTTCACCAGGTGACCCTCAACCACAGCCCAGGGCAGCTGGGAGAAAAGACATCTCTGAGGAGGCTGAGGCAGCTGCCGCTCCAACTTGGGCAGGTGGTCCTGTACCTGAAGTAGACAGAAGCCCCTTTGCGAAATCTCTGGGTCAGTCTCTTGAGGATGACATTTTTGATTCTGGAGATATCTTTTCCAAGGGCACTGGCTCTCAGCCCACGGGGAGAAGAAAAGCCAAGACAAAGGCAGCAGATGGCCTGGCCAACCCAACAGGGGGAAGTAAAGAGAAGAGCCCCATGTTTCCCTCTCTAGGTGAGGCAGGCAGTGATGATGATCTCTTCCAGTCTGTTAAACCAAAACCAGCAAAGAAAACAAATCCTTTCCCGCTCCTGGAAGATGAGGATGATCTCTTTACAGATCAGAAAGGCAAGAAGAATGAGTCCAAATCCAACGGTCAGCAGGAGGCCATCTCAAAAGCACAAGATATTTTTGAGGTAAAAGGACATGAGAGTACTTTCTGGGCCTGTTTCTGTGTTAAGACAAACACCCGATTGGCTCATTTGAGCCATAGGTTACAATAAGCTCGTTTCATTGCTGCTTGCTACCTATTTGCTTAGTACTTACAATTAGGATCTTTTATTAGTTACTCTGAAATTTACTCAAAAGTAGGTTTTTGTTTCGTTTCACGTGGGGGTGGTTCTTGGCTGGCTATGGCCATTGATACAAGTCTTGATTTTCATAGTTTTTATCAGCATGTTGCTTCAGTCAGCTTTCTTGGCATGCTGCTCTATGACATATATAAAGCAGCATCAGTGCAGCTTAAGTGTTTCGCCTCTGGTTCTTGGGGAAACAGGCCCTAGCTGGAGTACAGGCAGTAAGGCCTTCAAGTGCTACTGTCTGAGCAGGTGTTTATTGAACATCTGGGTACTAGAGACACAAAATGAACTAGGACCAGTGTGTAAGGGGAATTGGATACAGGCAGGGCAACAGATAAATAAAATGTTTTCAGATAATGTTAAGTGGCATAATGAAAACAGCTCCGGTCAGAGAACAGAGTGATGGAAAGGGTAGGAGGACTCCTTAACAAAGGACTGGAAGAGAAAGCCTCTCCACAGAGGTGGCATTTGAGCTGGGACTAGAAGAAAGACAAGGACTGGGCCAGGCAGAGAGCTGGAGTGGGGCATTCCAGGCAGAGAGGGCAGGTCACATGGCTGTTGCAAACTATAGTGGCAGTTAGTATTTCTACCACTTGATTTAAAATTGTTTTACTTCTGTTTTGGCTCAACAAGGATGATATATTTGCTACAGAAGCAATTAAACCCTCGCAAAAAGCAAGAGAGAAGGAAAGAACATTTGAATCCAACTTGTTTGATGATAACATTGATATCTTTGCTGACCTAACTGTAAAACCAAAAGAAAAGTCCAAAAAGAAAGTGGAAGCTAAGTCTATATTTGATGATGATATGGGTAAGTTTGATTTTCTACACATGACACAGAGAGTCATTGCCATTCAGGGACTTGATACTTCTCCTACCTTTGTTTCGGCCCTTTCCTGGAAAACATTCCCCACTGGGTTTCCTTTGGCTTGCTGTATAGTCCTGAGTTAGGCTGAGAATGGATAAGTAAATGGACTGGTTATTTTGGTGAAACAACTTTTTGCTCTGATGGACATCAAGGAATTTGAAGGAGCCCGGATTTTGACCTTAAGTATAATTTAACTTTTATATTAGTGTGCCCCCTGCCAATTATCTGTGATAACTCAGAACATTCTGATGTTACGAAGGGAGGCTCAGAAACTGCCCCACATGCTGAAGTTGGCTGAGGTGGCTGCCTCAGGCGTGGGGCACTTGTCTGAGTCAGAGTTCTAACTGAGGAGTGAGTGTCAGTCATTCAGAGAATGGAGGGGGCCAGTGCAGTAGGAAAGTGGTGCTATACATGAAAGCAGGTTATAACTCAGACTTAGCATCTCACAAAAGATCTTCTGTGTTTGTAAACATGCTCATTTGGGCAAGCCAAATGCCTAAACTCAAATGTGGGGCTTCTGATATGTCTGGTATTGATGGGTAGGACTTGAGTTGAGGCCAAATGCACACTGTCTCCTCCTTCCCCCCTCTCTCCCAGGTCTAGACCTTGGGGTTAATTGGGAGAAAGCAGCTGCACTGCCACATGGGGCCTGTTCCTGGAGTAAGCTGTGTGCTGTGTCTCCACCTGTTTCCCACCACAGGGGATGCAGAAGAGACTTCGCTGTTTTTCGTTTTGTTTGTTTGTTTTTAATTACAAAAAAAGCAATACATACCTGTTGTAATAGATTAGTATTATTTGGAAAATGTAAAACGTGAAAAACAATCCCTAGAGGTCACCATTGTTGAGTGTTGGGTGTATATATCTTTTCAGCTGTGGTGATGTTAATACAGCTTTGCATACGTAGAAATGTATGCTTGTTTTTTCCAAAATATGAATATATTTTATCTGTTCTGCAGTCCTTTTAGTCACTTACTATCTTCCCATGCCAGTACATAGAGATCTATCTGCTTCCTTGTTGTTAGTGGTTGTGTAGTATCCTTTTGTATTTAGCCATTAGCACGTTGAAGGTGATCTAGGTTGTTGCCAAGTTTTCTTTGTTACAAATAATGCCAGGCCTTTAACAATTGTGTATACATATCTCTATGTAAACATGCTCAAATCTCTGTAGGATGGAATCTTAGCAGTAACATTGCAGGTGAGTCACAAAACACTACAGTCAGTGAAACAACTGAACAGGAATGTAGTCATAAAGACTTACATTCTTAGAATTGACATGTCTCAGGTGCATTTATTTTAAAAGAGGGTGACTCCTATGTTGGATTTCCCTTTGCTTATTTGTATTGCCCTTTCCTTTGAAAACCTTGTGGGAAGAGAATGTAGAAGTAGGTACACGTAAAGTCAGGGGCTGGATTGGAGTTCCAGTTATCCTTCCCTTTTTCCTGTCCTCCATGTGAACACGCATACATTTGTAGTTGAGAAAATTGTGATCTGCGAGAACTTGTGATTTGTATGTGGTCGTAAAACTTAATTAGTAGCAAAGCCAGGACCAGTATCTAAGAGGCTTGGCTCTTAGTGTTCTTGGTATTCCATACTGTTATCAGACTTGAGTATTTGGTGATTTATGTAGATGTGTCTTAAAAGCACCCATTTTCTTGCCTGTTCAGCAAATCTTTTTCTTTTCTTCTTTTTTTTTTTTCTTTTTAAAGATGATATCTTCTCGTCTGGTATCCAGGCTAAGACAACCAAACCAAAAAGTCGATCTTCACAGGCAGCAGCCGAACCACGATCTGAACAGAAGGTGTCCAACATATTTGATGATCCCTTGAATGCCTTTGGAGGCCAGTAGAGCAGGGTATCACATCTCACTCTTCAGCTACATCCTTGAGTTATAGATGCTGTCTTACGTGCTCATTGTCTTAATTGAATTAGAAAAAGCAAATAATGAAACAGTACACCTTTCTTACCCAGCATACTTAGTATTTTTCTGCCCTGGTTTTAATCATGCTTAATACTGCAAAACAAAAATAAATATTTCACAGTGGTTTTTTTTTTTTTTTTTTTTAAACTATATTTTTATTTAATTAGCCTTGATGGGGTCACAGTATGATTTAGGGCATGTTGGAGAAGAAACCTCTGTGTGCCTTTCATGAGTGGGCGGGAATTCCAGAGGAAGCAATGGCAGACAGATGATCAGGAGTCTTCCTTTCATGGATAAAAGCCCTAGCTTAGAGCCTAGGCAGGTGATAGAGGAAGGGGATGGGATTATGTATTTCATGACTCTTTGCAGTCTGAGAGGAGGTTTCCTCTTATTCCAATGAATTTTGAAAATGCCTCTATAGGTTAATTAAGGCAAGGTTTGGTAAACTGTGGCCCTCTGTTGTCTGTTTTTGTAAATAAAGTTTTATTGGAACACAACCATGCCCATTCATTTACATGTTGTCTATGGCTGTTTTCACCCTACCTATGATGCTGGAGTTCAGTAGTTATGACAGGATGGCCCACAAAACCTAAGATACCTTCTATCTGTCCCTTTACAGAAACAGTTTTCTGACCCTTGCTCTAAGGCATCCATTTCCATTTCTTTGGAACTTTGAAAAACGCAGAATGAACCTAGATACTGGAAGGAAAAGTGCTGAGGATGGAAATGTCCTCCTGTAGAGCAGCACTCACTGTTCCATAGAACTTTGAACTGATGGGAATATTCTATAACTGTTGTCTAATGTGGTAGCCACTAGCTGCACGTGTAGCTGACCCCTCCTCCAGTCTGTGTTTTCTTGGACTATGCCTCCTTGGTGCTAAGTATTCAAACTATAACCATGGCACAGTCTTGTTCTTTTTGGTTTTTGCTTTTTTTAAATTTGTTTTATTATTATTTTTTTTTTATTTTTAGGGAGAGAATGAGGGAGAAGGGCACAGAGAGAGAGAGAAAGAGAGAAAGGATCTTAAGCAGGCTCCATGCTCAGTGCAGAGCCTGATGTGGGGCTCAATCTCAAGACCCTGGGATCATGACCTGAGCTGAAATCAAGAGTTGGATGCTCAACCAACTGAGCCACCCAACTGAGCCACAGCCTTTGTTTATTTAAAAAAGAAATTTTTTTAATGTTTATTTTGAGAGCACACGTGTGCTCATGACTGAATGGGGGAGAGGCAGAGAGAGAGAGACAATCCCAAGCAGGCTCTGTGCTGCTAGCGTAGAGCCCAAATGCAGGGCTCTACCTCCCGAACCACAGGATCATGACCTGGGCCAAAATCAAGAGTCAGCTGCTCGCACAACTGAATGAGGCTTTCAGGCACCCCATCCGTGGCACAGTCTCGTAGGCAGGCCCGTTTGGTTTCACCAATCCTGAAAGCACTAACTTCTTCCTTGGGCACTTTTAAGATTGAACTTGGAATTGCTGATTTTGAGAGATTTGGTAGAGCTCTCACAGATCAACTCTTTGTGCTGCTCTGCTGTGAGAGTGACTTGATGGCAGAAGAGAGTGCTTATACCTTCTGTTCCTTAGGTTACTTGTGTATACCTACTCCTGAGGCTGCCTCAGTAAGCATTTGTTAAATGGTTTTCTTTGGGAATGGTCAAATCTACTTATCCATCATTAGGACTGATTCCAGGAAATTCATAAGAGAGAAAATACGCAAATTCCTATTTTGAGAGGCTTCAAAGCGGGAGGGAGATAATAAAATCTCTTTAAGGGGCTCCTATCTATTCAGTATTGAGTTGAAGAAGGAACTAGTGTTGAGAGCCTGAAGATGAAGGTCCTTGGGTCTCCTCATAAACCCCAGGGTGTGCTCAGCATTGAACTGTTGGAGAGTAATTGATGGGTGGGGTCTTAGGAGAATGAGATGTTGGGGTTCATCTTAGATTCATTCCTCTGAGTCACAAGATGAGGATGATGAAGCTGGGAGGAGGATTGTTCACTATCGTTTGGGTAATTCACCTAGTGAAATAGGCCAGTTTGGGAAATCTGTAAGGGTTGGATTTAGAACATGTGGGGAATGGAGAGAAAAAAAAAGTGGGTGTGGGGGGGCATTTCAGGTTTGTAAGGTTTATGTCGTCTTTTAGGGTGTACACTCGGAGTTCAGCGCCTTGGGAATTAGAACAGAAAAAGGAATGTAGCTGAGTTTACCCAACTCAGATTTAAGTGATCAAGGTGTCCATGCTAATACCTGTCCTACACTTCTCAGTCCATGAATTGGATGAAGAATGATAGAGACCAACAGAGGGTATTAGCTTTTGCCCTTTTTAACCATGTACAGCAATGGCCCCATATTTCAGATGAGACCATTGAGGCCAGAAAGTCAGGAAACAGTGAAGCACAGGAAGGGTGATCTGTTAAAGGCAGGATGGCCCTGCACGGGGTCTGGAAAGGACCAACTGGAAGGCGTTTGCCTGCTACCCTCCTCACCCCAGCACTTGGGCCACGTCCAAGAGCAATCTTAGGACGGCCTCAGGCAAGGTACAAGCCATGCTCTCGGGCCTGAAGCCAATCTCGCCGCTCCCAGGAGGCCGTGCGGCTTGTCTCTGGCCCGCCCAATTCAGTCCTAGTCAGGTGCCCAGTGTTGGTAATAAAGGGCCAACATCCGGGCCTCTTCTAACCGACACCCACCATCGAACGCTAAAGCAGCCCCGGCTACCGAGCAACCGCCGGCGTCGGGCAGCCAGGCCCCGCCCCTGCCCGTGCCCTCGCCGATTGGAGGGTGACGTGAGCGCTGGTGAGTGATTGGTAGGCGGTGGCACAAAGGGGCGGGGGCGCGGCGGCGGCGGTGTGTTTCTCGTCAGTGCCTGCCGCGGCGTAGCTCGCGGGGCCGCGCCTCTCTGTAGGCCTGCGGGCGGGCGAGGCAGTGGACGAGACAGCCGGGGAGGGCGCCCGGGGCTGCGGGCCGCTGAGCGGGTTCGCGCTTTCGCCGGCCTCCGCGGGCCGGAGAGGAGCGCCTGCCGCTCGGCAGCCGGGCCCCGCCCCCTCCGCAGCCGCTGCCCCGCCCCCTCCGCAGCCGCTGCCC